TCCCCCCCCCCCCCAATATCCACAGAAGTTAGATGTATGTTTTAAATGGGCCAGTGCAAAATTAGGAAACTTTTAAATCATGGATGGACATAATTTCTGGTTCTGACAGGTGTTGTTTTGATTGCTGATTGTCGCTTACCCCTGCAACCACAAACATGAGTTTTGATTTTTCTGTTTTGTTTCCTTTTTTCAATATTAAGAAAAATGTTTTGAGGAAACAGAGGCATTGGGAAAAGATAGTTTTGGCGAAGAAGAGCAAAAGAAAACATGAGAGGGAGAGGCGTAAAGCCAGGCGTGCTGAAGAAAAAGGTAAAGAATTAAAATGATGTGTTATTTCCTTCTTTTAAAGCCAGTGGTTTTCGGAACGGTGCTTCTGTGGAGCCCTGGAGTTCAGGCATTTGCTAGTGAAGAAGTCAATTATGTTGGAGAACTGTCAACAAACAAGAGGTTAATGACCACTAGTAGTTTTCTCCTGCAGTGAGGAAGGCATAGAGAGAACATGTGTTTTGAAGCATAGTCTTGGTTCATGTAAGACACCACTGGCTCTGTGTGAGCTATGTTGCAAATAACAGGCTGCAGCAAGCTGGAAGTTCCTTGGCAGACATGTCAATGGGAGAAGTCTACACTGCTACTAAAAGTGTGATATCTACTGATTTAAGATGTTGTTTGAGATAGGAGTTTTGCCTCTCTGTTCTTTTAAAAGCCACCTCAGGACTTTTCAAAAATTTGCTTAAGACTGTCTGTGAATGTAGATACTTTCAGACATTGTTTCTAATGAAGTTCAGGACAGTCAAGCAAGCCTCAGTTTTGTGAAGTAGCCTTGTAGGAATCCATACTGTTAATTTTCTTTCAAACTCTTCTTGTTAGGTCTTAGGGAAATCTGGGTATCTGTAATTCCAAAAGGCAGGATCGTAGTCCCAGAAGACCAGGAGGGCCGTGCATATCTCCCCTGAAGACAATGAGAGCTGTAGTGTTAGTATATCTGGTAGGCCCCATGTTAGGAACTTTGCATTTGTCTCGTTGGTCATGGACAGATTTTGAGCTGTGAGCATTTTCAAACAAGCCATCCTTCTTGTACATTTGAGTGTGTCACAGTCTCATTGAGAATGATGCCAAGTGCCAGGGTCACCTCCACACACTTAGTGACTCAATTTCCAAGACTATATGTTCTCTCTTTCTCTACATTTGCCATGTGGGTCTCTTATTTTCAGGTGCTGCTCTCCAACACAGCAAGTGGGAGCTAAAAGCAATAGCAAAAGAGCGCCTTCTGGAGGCCAAGGAAACAGGGCCTCGGCTCTGCATTGATTTGAGCATGACAAGCCACATGACTCAGAAGGTATGGCTGTGGATCGCTCCCTCTGCCTTGTTTTTTTAATGACTTATTGGCTTTTCAGGATTGGGCATTGTGTAGCTCTGCTCAGCTGTGAAGCAGCGCCTTTTGAACACACAATGGGCCACTTCTAGGGTAACAAAGGTGTATTCAGCAACATTGCTTGTTGCATGGGTTGTGACTGCCAGTGGGTGGGGGACAGAAGTTGAATTCTTCATGGTGAAAAACAACAAGAAAAAGCTGTCTGCCATGTTCCAAGCGATATGTTTTCCCCTATATGTGCAGGAAACCTCCTTTTAATGGGCGGGAATCGTGCATATATTCTTGCTGCTCTTGTATCAAAAGTAGGACAGTCCAATGAGAGAGCCTTTCAGGCTATTGCTTGCATTCTTTGACTCTGTGAACCAGGAGTGGTTAACCCTCAGAGGATCCAAGGGCTGCACATGGCCATTAGGGATTGGCTTCATGGGTATGGTAGTTTTGTGAGAGGCTCCTCCTATAAATCCCAGGGGGGGGGCATCGAAACTGCCCTACTAGTGAAGCCTTGCAACTCCCAGGCAGCTTTGTGACTCTTGGGGATTACTGGGAACAGATGCTTTGCTTTTTCAAGGAATCTGTTCCACACACGCAATGGAGGTGGCAAAAACTCCTCCGTGGGCATCTCTCGCTCTCTTTTTTTTTTTTTACTTCCAGTCTTAGAATTTTACTTGGGGGATTCTGGGCAAATTCTGGGAGCAAAACTCCCTAAAGTCTCATCCCAAACAAGATGCCTTGCTTTTTAAAGGAGTCTGTTCCACACACACAATGGAGGTGGCAAAAACCCCTCCATGGGCATTTCTCTCGCTCTTTTTTTTTACTTCCAGTCTTAGAATTTTACCTGGGGGATTCTGGGCAAATTCTGGGAGCAAAACTCCCTAAAGTCTCATCCCAAACAACCTTGGAGGGCTATAATGGTAGCCTCCATGCCCAAAATATTTTCCTTTTCCTTTTATGTTTTGCTGAAAAAGTCCCATAAATTAAAACAACCTTTATAAAATATTAATGTTTGTGGGGAATGGGGAGCTATCCTCCCTCTATGTGGTAGAATTCCATCCTATACTCACGTAGGGCTCAAGGGGAATAGCTGAGCAATATATTAAAAATATATAATTTGGGGCTATGAAGGGGCATTTGAGGCTTTAGAAGGTCACATTACACCTACGGGCTGCCTTTTG